ATTTTATTTTCTGGTAAAGAAAATTACAACAACGGTTTGGACCTTTTCAAATGTGGGTTTGTGGAAAAGTTACACACAATAAATAACTTACCGCTTAGAAAAAGTTTGTTCCTGACCAGATTGATGAGCTAACAGCTAGTCAGAGTGAGACTAACATGGACGGCTGCTTCTACAACATATTACATCACTATAGAGCTGCATGATGAGCATCATCATCACAATGTATGTGTGCCCAATAGTCCCACTGCAGGTCCTGCAATGTAGGCGGCAAATTACATCAAGGTGATATCTAGGGACCAAACCACTAAACGGTTGTGTGTTATTGGCTTTTATTTTTGACATGTTGCTTCCATCATGTCAAAACTAAAATTAATGGCAACGTTTTTGGAAGAAGTGTTGCCGGCGAGTTGTCGAGCTGTGGAGGAAGACARCGAGGGTCTTGATGAAAACGAGGAAGATGAGCAAATTCCCAGAGAACGGGAGGAATAGAGGTAAAACACAGTTAGCATGAATTCTAATATTAAAGCGTGACAGAAACAAGAGACTAAGAYAGAYACTGAGGCAACACGTTACCGGTGCAAGTTTATCATCATGGCAGCAAAACTTAGAGTTATTCATTGAAAAATCCTGTAATTATCGAAAAATGGCAAAGTTATTTTCAGTGTCGTGCAGCCCTACAGGTTCTTCGCTTATTTGCAAGGACAAATAGMGGCAGCAGCACCTGCGTTAGCCGTTTGGGTGCTTAACTGAGGTGTTAAAGTGTATAAAACAACTTTTGCACAAAACTCTMCGAAATTTCTACTGTTCTTAAACCTCTGGCTAGCCGTTAGCTTGTCAATCCGGTTAGCATTAAAATAGGGCTGTCGATTAATAGTTTTAATCTGATTAACCCCAAAGTAGCTGTGWATTAGTCACGATTAATCTTAAATTTAATATACATTTCTATTGCATATTGATAAAATAAATTACTTGAGTTATTAATTAGTTTTAAATGTTTTTACTTTGAAAACAAAATTAATGCTTAGACATGATTTTTTGAATTTACAACAGGACCTAAAAAATGCTCCAAACATATTTGAGTCAGTTAAATTTTGTGCAGAATAATGAGGTTAAAACAAGAATTCAAGGATTTTCATTCCAAATGAGTACATGAGGAATGAAAGATAGATACAGTACATGAGGAATGAAAGATAGATACTAAGGTCACAGTTGTCAGCAAAACATAAATACATAAAATAAGCCATAAGAAGACAAAAAGAAAAAAACTGTACATAATGTGTTACACATGAAGTTTTTATTTATTTTATTTATTTAACCTTTTTTTATCCAGGTAAACTGTTTGAGAACCACTTCTCATTTACAAACATGACCTGGCATGCACTGAGTGCATTGCAATATACAAACCTACATATTCAGCCAGAGTGAAGTGATTGCAAATTTTAATCGCGATTAAAATTTTTAATCTATGCCCATGCAGCTCTAAAATGAATCAGAGTTAACTCGATTAATTTCACAGCCCTACATTAAAACTTATTTCTCCAAAACTGAGGTCACCCAAAGAGCCATCCACGACAGGTAAGACCTTAATTGCTCATAATCTTTTTAACAGAACCCATTTTCAATCCAATTTGAAGCATCCCTTTGTAGCTATAATCCAGCAGGAAAGCCCGTTGAAGTAATTTAGAACTTCCAGAGCAAGCTTGATGCTGAACAATGCATGTGTCACGTACGTACGCCTTCTGGTCAGATCTTAGATAAATAAATAAATAAATAAATAAATTGACTGCGGTCAGATAACTGAACCATTGGCACCTGCTGCACAAATGGAGCTGCTCTGCACTCAAACGCGGTCCTAAATCCCCCACGGTACTGACCTGTCAGATTAGTGCTGGTTAACTCTCTCTCCCATGGTGATCAGATAACATGACGGCTCTATTTATACATAGTAGGTCAGGCTGCAGACAAACAGTGAATAACAAGGCAACACACACAAACACACCACCTCCAGGAGGGGTGGAAAGGTTGCCATCTTTTAGCCATAAAGTGAAGCTGATTGGGTTCAAACTCCAATCAGAAGCTATGATTCTGCTTGTTTTTTTTTTTTTCTTTCCTCTGCTCCTGTTCTGATACCTCAGATCAGACTCACTCYTCAGCGTTACAAGCTTGAACACAGGTGAGTGGTTGAGCCCCCACTAGTCCTGCCCCTGGAAGTACAACGAATTAACCTGATGGCTCGGCGTCAAATCCTACCGTAAAACAAGATTTCAGACATTACTCTGGTTCTTTTCTTTTATATATAAAAAGAAAAACTCAAGTGGTGTGACAAAACGTCTGAGTAAGAAATCGAAAGCAGCTGCTGTTGTTCTCCTGACCCCACAGTGACACAGCTGGAACTGCCTGGACTCAGTGCGGACGCTCTGCAGCGGGACAAAGGTCCACCGTGTCCTTCATGTCTCCTGGGTAGCATCATCCTCCCCAGTCAAATGCATTCCCAAATGACAAATCTATGCAGCAGATGGTAAAAAAATAAATAAATAAATAAATAATAATCAGAGCAAAAACAAAATTACACAGGGATTCCACAAATCCAGAGGAAAAATACGCGTCCCACTCCCCACACGCACTTGGAAATCTAAACCCCCCAATTGAAGCCTCCCCGCACGTTCAATGGACCATTCATCTTTCCACAACCGCAAGCATGAAAGGTCTGGGCCTCCAGGAGCTCCTCTGGACCATCTGAATGTGTCAGAGTTGGGGGATGAGACCAAAAAGATGATCCTGCTCGGTTTGAAACTTGAACCCTGTTCTTTCCACTTAGATCTAAACCAGCAGGGAGAGGACAGAGTGGGGAGGGGGGGTATGATCAAGAAAAAGTACTGTGGCTTATATCTGGATCTATGGACTTTTTATTTAATAAGCAAATCCAGCAGACTAACCAGCATTTCTATTCTGAATAAGTAATATTTTGATATCCATCAGTAAACTGCATTTTATTTGACCAAGTTGTTAGAAAATATTGTAAGATAATGAAATGCTTGACAATGAGGAAAGAGAAGAAATATTCCAGGGAAAATTAAAACTAGTGACACATGGACCACCAGGGGTCGCTGCTCAGCTCTAAAACTCAAAGTTCAAGTATTTCATTTGACTTTAGGAGTATTTAAGAGAAAATAAGTTTTGCAAAACTTTTTAAAGTGCAAAAAAAAGTGTCTTAATTTGTGTGATCTACAGTAAAATAAARGTTTTTCTCACTCTGTGAGCTCAGATTTAGTGTGAGAGAGAGAGGGTTAATACCTGGACTATCTGACGGGGCTGCACGGACAGAGTGGGGAAGTTCCCCCGGCCGTGGATGGGCACAGCCTCCCCCAGGATCGAGTCCAAACGCCGCACCTGATCCCACGACAGCACACAGAACCTCTGACTCTGATCCGGAGCAGCAGACATGATAATAACCCGCTCCAACTCAAGAAGAATCGAACAGCAAAAAATAGAAAACGTAAAGAAKTTTATCTTCCCTCTTCTTCAGAACTAAAACAAATATAATCCTCAGGAAGATTTCTGATGAATCTTGAAGTTAAAAAAAAAAAAGTCAGAAGAAAAAGTTTGCTCTGAGGGGAGTGGAGGTTCGGCCGGGATCAGCTGCTCTCTCCGGTCTGTGCGGCTGGAATCCGGTCGGTGTGCAGAGCTCCGATTCATAAGGAAGGTCCAAGGGGCTCCGAGGCTGCTCATTAGCATGCTGCCCTCTGATTGGCTGCTCAGTTTGGTCATTAACATCCTGCACGCAGGAAACTCCCTCCATGTGACGCACATGTCGGTTTCCACTCCTCTGCAGGCTGACTGGTTTCCCCTCGAGGCTTTATGGTCTTTAAAGGGAGCATTACCTCAGCTGCCTGCAGTCACATCAGAGRAGTGATGAATAAAAGTTACTGATAGCTGTGCAAACACACTCTACTTTACACTTTCATCTTTATTTTTGGGAGGAACCTTTGAAGTGATGTTCTATCAAATAATTATCAGTTGTTAATCTTATCATCTGGGYGTGGTTCAGCTAAACAGTTAATAGCAGAACTATTTTTTATGATTAAAGGCACAGTGTGTAGGATTTTATCAATTCTTTTAGCCAAAATTGAGATAATCACTAATGACAATAATAAAAAACATGTCTAATCATTGCAGACAAAGACCTTGTTTTATTATTTTTACCTTATAAAAAGCTGTTTATATCTCCATGGTCGCGGGTCCCCCGACCAAGGACAAACTGCGGTGGCAGCATCAAAATCGGTTTTAGTTGTAATAC